CAGTTCCACACAAGGTGTGCTCCTACACAAACTTACCAACATGTTTAAATGAACAACCACCAGACTGAAACATAATTTTTTTTATTTTAAAACCATTCTAATTTTGGAAGACAGAAAACATCACACAAATTTAAATGAACATAAAAAAAAAAATTACATCCCAACATCCTCCTGGCTGCTCACTTCGTCATAGAGATCCGTGCTGGTTGAGGCATCCTGTTTTTCTAAATATTTTGAAAATGTAAAAAAATGCATACTGAATCAGAAAAACATTCCAAATATTAACAATTACAGCAGTGATTTGAAAAAACTTACAATCTTCAAATTTGCAATTATTTCAACAATGTAACACAAATAATTCATTACAAAATTTGACTAAACTCTCGCTTTAGCCAACTTCTACTTCAAACCCCACAGAGACATATCCAACTAGTAAATATACAGAAAATGTGTGTAAAATGTTCACAATACATAAGGTAACAACACCTGAAGCCAAGGTAGGTAGTGATAAAACAATAAACACTGATGATGACATAACAAACTTAATAAATGCATTTAGTCAAAGTTCAATCTATAAATTCAGCAAATTAAAGTACAGATAACACATATCACAAATGCTATTCAACAGTATTTGTTGTGCTTTTCACATACCACTCCAATTATCAATACATAAGCAAAAATAAGCCAAATCATGCATTCTAACACACTTACCATCGCTACAAAATGCTGCTGTGGATTTCAGTACCTCCAGCTCCTCTTTTAGGCCTTCCTCCCTGTGGCGGCCTTCAGTGACTAATTTGCCCAGAAGCTGAAGCTTTTGCTCCTGGGCTTTTAGCTGTCTCTCTTTTTGAGAGATAATTTTAAGCAGGTTGTGCACACTATCTGTGCATTGTCGGAATGCCTGCTCCCTCGCGACAGCCAGATCCAAGCAACCATACTGCAAACAAAAAACAAGTGGAAAATTATAACTTTGTGCATATTTTATGAAAAAAGGGACGTTGTACCAATTAATAACTGTGCCTTTTCAGAATTTTTAAAATCACATATTTCCCTACGTGAAGTGTATTATTTGTTGTACTTGAAAAATATATTTTAAATCGTATTAGTCTCTGCTAATTTATTATGCTTTACAGAAATTTTATCAAGTAAGCATCAAGGTTTTAACCAATTAGCATTGTTTTCTAGATTTCACTTTATATTCCATTTTATAATTCATTTAACTTTTAATTGTTGCATTGTTAATTAGGGTTTCTTCACAGTTTTTTTTTTTACAATATTGTTAAATATCTGTGGAAATGACAAATATTTACCTATACATTCAAATACCACTTTAGGTGAAGCCGACATGTTAAGGGAATTGTAATTATAGCAAGTGCGGGGCACCATCTTGGATGGGTGGTCACTATTGAGGGACCCATCCAAAATGGCGAGAAAACGATTACACTCTCCAGCTCCCAAAATCGCATCTCTTTATATTTTTGGATCAACACATTCTTTAATAACACTATTTGTTCCAACTGTTACACTTTGCCAAATGTTCTGTTTGTTGGACACAACCACTGCAAACATGGAGTACACGTTCTATCAACGTAACTCTGCAACACACCGGTGTCGGTACAAGATCTGCTCGGGTGCAAAATTGACTCGGGGTCCGTCGATTGCCGATGACGTCTAAGTAGTTGATTGGCTGAACATAAACCTTACGGAATTACGTAATCACGTTACGTTGTTATCGCATTATGTTGGTGCAGGCAAATCTTTCTGTTGTAAAGATGGACAACTTTTACAAAGAAATCATCATTAACTCTTTGAAAATACACTTTTAGCATAGAGCTGCATGTATTTTAGGGCTGAACGATTAACTGCATGTGCAATTAAATTGCGATGTGACAAAAGGATATTTTCTAATCGCAAAGGCTGCAATTTGGCAGCGAGTGGTTAGCGCAATGCTAATATACATGGAAAAACCCATAGGAATGCTAACGCTAATATCGCCGATTACATTATTACAAATTATGAATTAGAAACGTGCTAAATGATTACATTTGGAGTCTAATAAAAAGTAAAACTACCATCAATCAAATAAGTACAGACAGGTATTTTAGAAACGTGCCAAATGATTACATTTGGAGTCTAATAGAAAGTAAAACTACCATCAATCAAATAAGTACAGACAGGCTAGCAGCTATGAGCGTAACTGAACTACGCATGGACAAGACGTCAAAAACTAAACACAAAATACTTCAATAAACGGGACACACTTCTTTCCTGCAAATACAATTTCACAGGTGTTGCTAATACCTATGATTCTTGAAGGGATGTGCTCAAAGAGGAGTTCAACATTATGAATAAAATATAGTATTTTATTTTACAAATACCATTATAAACACAAACTTACATCTTAAGAAACATTATTTTAATAACGAAACTGCTAAATTCTTTCCAACAGTATAAATGTGTAGTGTATTTTGTCCGAGTGGGTTTGCCATAAATTGACGTCATCGGCAGTCGAAGGACCCCAAGCCGATCTTGCACCCGAGCAGATCTTGTACCGACACCGGCAGCACCGATGACGTCACTAACGTACCTGCCATATTTAGGCATTAACGCGGGCAAAACACCGGAAACATCGACGATGTCACTAAAAATTCCACTACCTCCGCTCCGCTCCGCTCCGCTCCGGTCCGCCCCCGCCTTCCTCAGCCGCTCGCTTCCGAACTCAATTTTTACTGGTACACGCTCTACAACGGCTCCGCTCCGGTGCGGAGACCTGAGGTGGGTAAACAAGCATGCGCGGGATTTTCGAGATCTTGCGATACAGTCCGAGCAATAAACGCGGAAGTTAGATCCAAACACTCGTTGTGTGGGAGAAGCATCGAAATGAACTGTTTAATCTGACCATCATTAGTGTTGAGAGATCAGCAGTGTTTGGATCAACACAGGGTGACTACTTTGATAGTGGAAACTGTATTTATGGCTTACTTTTGTGCATTTAAAGTTCAGCCGCCATTAATAGTTGTTAAAAGTTGTTAAATCTGTGCATATAAAACAAAAAACGCCTTTTGTTTATCGATTTATTGTGAAAAACGGAAGTTGTGCTTGCTCCTTTTCCTGTTGGGTGGTTGTGATTTCTGTCCATTTACTGCAGAGCTGCTCCGGCGTCCGGCAAAAATAGGATCGATTCTATTTTTGCCAGACGCCGGAACAGAGGGTGGCGCACTGCGCCGCACTGCCGGAGCACGGCCGCAGTAGTGGAATTGCTCTGATTGACTACAACGGGACCGATTTTGCTCCGGCGTTCGTGTCGGAGCGGAGGTAGTGGAATTTGGGGGTAAAACGTACCTGCCGTATTTAGGCATTAACACGGGCAAACTACTAAATAAAACAAATTGACACGAATGCCAACATTAAGCTGTTAATCTATGATTTAAGCTAATTTCACTTATTTGAAAAGATAAATACAATGTCCCGCTCATTTTTTATTCCTTTTGAATGACAACAGTTATATAATTACATTTTTCTCCTCATGACAAAAGTAGTAAAACAGTCAATTCATCCATTTTTCACTGCAATACTCACACAAGCGATCTGTGCAGCCTGCTTCGCAGCCTCTAATTCGTCCCGTGAAAAACGGGGAAATTTGGAAGGGGAAAAGTTCGCCATTATCTACAACAAACACACAAAACAATATCACAAATAGTACTAACTAATAAAACGAATGTGCAATAAATGAAACATCTGAGTAACGTACCTCGATCTGCCAATTTTAACTGTGTCTATTCAAATGACCGCGCCTAAAGCCCTCGCAACAATTTATACAACCGCGCTCTCTCATAGGTCCGCCTCCGTTTGACAGACCACCACATCTACAAATGAAATTAAACAATGACAGGAAGAACGGTGTCAAACTTTCCAGTTATCAAAATCACTTCCTGTACCTGGAATTTCAAAGTAAAACCTTTATAAAAGCTCTGAAACAATATTATGAGGTCATATGCATTAGCTATTTGATAACTTGATGCATAAAAGCTACACTTTTCTACTGAAAATATCATACACTATTAATTACAATTGTCACTATTAATAAAAAACAAGCAGGAATAATTAATGCAACAAGGACTTCAGTTTGAAATAATCCCGTTGAACATCGCTAGCGTACCTTTACTGACTGACATAATTTTGAAACACATTATAAGATGGATCATTAAACAGCTACACATGTTGCAAATGTGGCTACTCCTGTCATCACTACCCAGTTGTACATCTCTGATAAACATCATATCCAGCCTAATGTGGACGAAAAACGTTTTGAATGAAAGGTGGGTGGTATGTAAAATCCAGTTAACACTAATAATTATGTAATTAATACCTCTTAATAATACTTTGACATCATGTTTTAATTCAAACACTGTAATGATTAACTGAGCATTAAACATAAATTTGATTTTTTTCCCCATTTCTTTAAATTACAATGCTGTGTATGTTTTACACATGTGATTTTTTACTAGAAAAAGGAATCAGCTGCACAAATGATCGTATCAGCATGCTGCAGGTTCCTACACCATTTGCACATGCTAAAATATGGGACAGTTATTTTATGTGAGTCATTTTATACTAGGATATCAGTCTACTGTGCTTTGCCTTTTCTTGCAAAAACGTTTAATACATAGTCATTTCATTCTCCATGATAGAGCCTGACCTTCAGCTTTTACATTTTACAGTACTCTCATATCTTGCATTACAGTTTATTATTTGTACCGTTTTTAACATACATCACAGGAGTTGATCCTTGCATGTGACATTACCTTTAAAATGCATGTGACATTACCTTTAAAATGAAAAATGTACTAATATCACTAATATATACAAATATATTTACAAATCCAGAAAGTTTTCATGAAAACCCCCCTGAGGCATTTTCACTTGAGACAGATCCTGGAGTGGACAAACAAGCAGGAAAGATTTCCCTTCATCCCCCAGAGGGAAAAGCACTTGTGGAAATGGTGGAGTACCTTATATCACACAAGGCCCTGCCAGCAAATCTCCCAAAAGACTTGACATTGTTAAGGTCATCTGCAGATATGCCTAGGAAGTTGGTCCCTGGTGAGATCTATTGCCATAAGTGTCCAGGAAAAGTTCCTCTGTCAGATCCGATAGCCATATCGAACAAAGCCAAGATTGTCACAGTCACCGAAGTTGTGGAGGGTAGGTTGCCGTACCCGATAGCATTACTATTTGCTGTTTTTATGTTTAATGCATGATAAATATGAATACTCTGTAATTGTTGAAACATTGACAGTACCTTGATTGCGCCTTTTCCTTGTTTTGAAGGTGTAAAAACATATTGTAAAAAATGTGCTGAATGTGGCACATTTTACTGTTACCAGGAGTGGGCAGAGGGGCTACATAACTTCAATGATCGTATCATTTTGACACATCATTTCTGTCTCTTTCTGAGGAACTCCATACAGGTAAAAAAATGCACACACAAAAAAGCCCTAACCAAAAAGAGCTTGAACTTTTGTTGTTTTCTGAAAGGTACAATCAAGGTTTGTAGTCATCTCAAAGACGATGAAGAAAATAGCAAAGGGTCTGATTACACTCCAAGTGATGTTTCTGTTTCTTCTTTTTTATATTAATTTTGTATATAGCATATTGGGTTGTAGATTTAGTTTTAAACTGAATTTTAAACAATTTTAGCTAAAGGCTGGAATGTGATCTGAATGCATCTGAATACTTTGTCAACCCACTTTATCTGACAGGTTTATATTCATATCCATTTCTAGAACCATACAGCTGTGGCGAGAGTTGTGAAGGCTTTGCAGAGTACAAACAATCAAAAGTATCCAGATCCTGATTCGATTCTTCATGGGTACCTTCATTTTGAAGCGCTGTCATCCCACAAATATGAATTTTCTTGTGTAAACTATGGACATCACCCCCCCCCCCCCCCCCCCCCCGTTGTGATTATAGATTTGCACAAGAAAGGAGTGTTCAGTATGCCAAGTATGTACTTCATTATTTTCATTTTTATTGTAATCCCACAACCCATTAAAATGTCCAATCAATGTTTGTTTGTGTTTTACATTTTCAGTGTGTGACCTCCAACAACCACCACCTGAATTTGATGGCCAAGTGGATGTTGATGACTTCTGGCATTCTGTGAGCCAAGAAATTCTTTGTCGAGGCTTTGTGAAGAGTAGGTGACGATTTCAATTTTCAATTATAAAAAATGAATGATAAGGCCAAGCTTATGTGGGAGACAGGATTTGTAGCGATCCCAACAGTTAAGGGGAAGAAAAAGTAGCATAGGTGGAAGTGGAACTAGCGGGACCCCAGCCACATGCATTGTAAAACTTTAGTTTCTGTTAAATTTTGTTATTGTCACTGACACGTTTTTGTATAGTGCCTTCGTCAGACAATCATGCTCCCATGATGCTCTGTGGCTTGCCGTTATGTTCATGCTGGAAGCAGATGACAGTCATAGAGCACCCAAAAGGCCTCTTTTTCTGAGTTGTAATCGAACAAATTCCTCCATATCTTAATTGCATTTAGTTGTGTCCAATGCTATGGCAAATACCAGTGTTGAGCTGTCTGGGGCTGGTCTCACTTTTAAAGTGGGATGTAATGATTAGTCAACACCATTGCATTGGGCTCCAGGATTTGAATGAAATAAAAATATGTAAGGAGTTTCATTTTAGAAACAGTAAAATGTGAGGTTAACAGTGTTGTTGAAAAGTTATCATTTTACTGGTGCACTGTGCCAGATGTCCACAAATGCATACTTTAATATTTCTTGCATTAGTAAAGCGAAGGAGGCTGTGTGTTATTTTCTTGGTTGTTCCTTCTCTAGGTAATGCTGCAAATCCATGTGTCATATCACCATCCTACCACAAATGGGCACCTTGGATAGGACCACACACCAGGGCAAACAACTTGTTATTAAACACAGAATATCAGAAGGGTCAATGCAGCAAGCGGGCAAACTCTGCAGAACAGGCCGAGATGGATATATCTGAGGACAGATTGATTAATGAAATTATCAACTTGAAGGTGAGATTAGCGGTGATGCCTGGGCTAACAGACCACAACAAAAACACCTGAAAACAACCCATACTTTTAATCTAATTTATGTTAGCATCTTTGCATTCAAGTTTCTGTGCCTGTTCAAATATTTGCCCATGTTGTCACAGGTTGATGCAGTGCGAAAGCTGGCCAAACAATGTGGCCTTGAGTCCACGGGTTCCAAAATGGATCTTGTCATCAGGTTGAAAGAGCAGATGAAAAGTCGCAGTGCTTTTGACAAGGTCTTTTCCAAAGTGTGGGGTGCATCTGGTAAGCAAATCAATCAATCAATCAATCAAAGCTTTATTTATAAAGCACCTTCCGCAACCCTGTCAGGAAGCCCAAAGTGCTGAACATGGTACTAAATATATTGAATAAAACAACAATAAAAGAAATTCAAACTACAAAATACAAATTACAAAATACAAATTACAAAATACAAATTACAAAATACAAATTACAAAATACAAAATGTAAATTACAAGATAGATGAAACATTCGGATAAAGTGGATTGAGTGGATGGATTGAGTGTACCAATGAAAACTGTGGAATGAATTCAACATAAAAGAGGGCCAAAATCAAACGTGTTCTGGAAACGCTAAGCGGAGGAGGTGAGTTTTTAGGTGATTCTTAAAGACTGGCAGAGAGGGGGACAGCCTGACTGAGGGTGGCAACTGGTTCCAGAGTAGCGGTGCTAGGACTGAGAAAGCCCGGTCCCCACGGGTACGACACCTAGAACGAGGGACAGCGAGCAGACCTTGGTCAGAGGAGCGCAGAGCACGTGATGGGGAATGTTTGTTCAGGAGAGTGGCCAGATAGGGAGGACCACCACCCTGGAAGAAATGATAAACAAAGACGAGGATTTTGAATTGTGAGCGATAGCAAATCGGAAGCCAGTGCAGGGAGGCCAGAACCGGACTGATGTGGTCCCGTTTCCTGGTCCCAGTCAGGAACCTGGCGGCGCTGTTCTGCACAACCTGTAGGCGGCGCAGTGATGACTGACACAACCCTGCATAGAGAGAGTTGCAGTAGTCAAGCCGAGAAATTACAAAGGCATGCAGTACCCGCTCCAGGTGGGCTCTCGACAGCATAGGCTTGATTTTTGCAAGGCATCTCAGGTGAAAGAAACTGGACCGGATCACAGAATTGATGTGAGCATCAAATTTAAATCCTACATCAAGTTTCACCCCCAAACTGGTAACAACTGGTTTTGCGTATGGTGAAAGTGGGCCAAGATCAGCATAACGATCCACATTCCTGCTGTTGGGGTGAAACACAATGAGCTCTGTCTTTCCCTCATTCAGATGTAGATAGTTGGCCATTAGCCAAGACTTTACCTCGTTAACACAGGACACAAAGGACTGGATAGAGTGACCTTTCTCCTGACACAATGGAGAGTAAATCTGGCAATCGTCAGCATAGAGATGGAATGATAGGCCATGTTTACGAAAGATTGACCCCAGAGGTAGCAGATAAATGGCAAACAAAAGAGGACCAAGGATCGACCCCTGCGGGACCCCCCAGCGGAGCCCCTCCCAAGAAGAAAAAACATCACCCAGTTTAACACAGAATGTCCTGTTGTGGAGATACGATCTAAACCAGTCCAGAGCTGACCCTTTGATCCCAACCCATCGTTCCAAGCAATCGAGTAGAATCACGTGGTCAACTGTGTCGAAGGCTGCTGTCAGGTCTAAAAACATAAGCAGCACAGATGTTCCTTGATATAGTGATAGATAGATGTCATTTAGGACCCTCAGTAGAGCTGACTCTGTGCTATGGCCAGACCTGAACCCTGATTGGAAAACCTCAAACAGATCAGAGTCAGCTAAATGTGAAACCAGCTGCTGATAAACAACTTTCTCAAGCAGTTTAGATGTAAAAGGCAGGGTAGAGATAGGCCTGTAATTTTCTATCACAGAGGCATCAGCACCAAGTTTCTTCAGGGTCGGCCGAATAACTGCTGCTTTCAAAGCAGCTGGGACCAGGGGATACCTGGGATAAGGTAAGCTTATCCAGACACAAAGAAACTTTAAGTGTGTGTGTGTATACACACACACACACACATATATATATATATATATATATATATATATATATATATATATATATATATATATATATATATATATATATATACACACACACAAACACATATTTATATATATGTGTATGTGTGTGTGTGTGTGTGTGTGTGTATATACATATATACTCTATATATACTCTAACGTCCCTTTCTTTGTTTCTTGTTAAGGTGGCTGGGCAGTTATAATGTGCCCCTGTGGAATCGTGAATTCTATGAAGTTCAATGTGAGGGCAGAAAGTCCGAGGGACTATTGTGATATGTTGCTATCATTTAAGCACTTTCCTAATGTAGTCATCTATGATTTTGCAAGAGGTTTGGCCACGCACACAAACCTGCGTGAACCTTTAAAAATCCCCTTTATGCCAAACGAAGGCAGACTTGCTGATGCCACGCCAGAACACCTTCAGTCTGCCCAGAAAGGTGATCTGAAAGTAAACCTGCCATGGTTGAAGGTTCAAAAGGAGCGTGCAGACAGCAATGCACACCCCTCTACAGGTTCAGCTGAACACTATGCTCTGTATGACACTTTCCACGAGGCCAACACCAGAGAAGTAAAAGACTGCTTGAGGAAAATTTCACTGGTACCCGAACTGCACGGTTCGGTGAATTCTCAAGTAGCAGAGCAGTTGTTCTCCAAAATGAGGAAGAATAACTACTTTCTAAATATGATGTCTCCGGGGAGCCATATCTTTCTCATGCGCGCTATCATTCATCATCACAATACCATGTTGAATGAGAACACCCTGGGCGACATTCATAAAATATCATCAGCAGATATCACACTGGATTCATCTGGGAAGGCTGTAATGGGTTCGTAATTTAAAATCAACTGTTAGGAATATGTAATGTATTGTATGCACATCTATATTTATGGTTAAATTATATTTTCTAGAAAGTACACTTGTTCTGAGCGGAACTCCACTTCCAGCAGATCCCAAAGGTAGTTTGCCGTCCTTTTTTTTTTCAAGTCATCTATATAAATGGTTTGTTAGACAAACATGTCTCATGAGCAGGACATGATGATGTTCTTTTTTTAAATACAGTGGGATTGGATCCCGTGAACATTAATCAGTGTTCGAGGAAATGTGAGGCCATAACAGCCATTTCATCTCTAAAGCCCTGCAGAACCTCATGGACTATAAAGGGTCATCATCCACTACAGGAGCAGCTGGTAAACAGATATTTCTGCATACTGTCATCATTGTTAATTCTTAGATTAATAGTTGTTCTTTTTTTAAATTTTTTTAATACTCGTTACCCTAGATCAATTATGTCCTGGATGTGACAAGACCTGGAAGTGAGCTCATCATCAAAGACGGACCAACTTGCCTTTCCAGAAGTGACATCTTGACCCTTGGACTTCAGAGAGACATGGATGCAATGGTGCTTAACAAATGTACAATTTACGGCTGAAGTGTGTTTTCATATAAATAATCATTAAAAATTAATTGATGCTGCTTCTATTCTACATCAACAGATAGGGAATGCATGTCTCAGGATAGTCCGGGAGATGGCAAAGATGCAGGTTGGTTTGAAATTAAGAATAAGTGGCTGGAGGACAAGGAAATTACTAGACTTGCATGCATTACATAGATGTGTGTGTCAGGAGAAAGGTCACTCTATTCAGTCCTTTGTCTCTTGTGTTAATGAGGTGAAGTCTTGGCTAATGGCCAACTATCTACATCTGAATGAGGAAAGACAGAGCTCATTGTGTTTCACCCCAACAGCAGGAATGTGGATCGTTATGTTGATCTTGGCCCACTTTCACCAAAACCAGTTGTTACCAGTTTGGGGGTGAAACTTGATGCTGGACTTAAATTTGATGCTCACATATATATATATATATATATATATATATATATATATATATATATATATATATAGGTGACATACTCAGCACTTACAAAATCTTTGTATGCGTTCTATCTACAGGGACGGGATGTTTTTGTCGCTGACCTGCATGTGACACGAACATGGCTACCTCCCACCAACTGCGATCCCCTGCTCCATTTCCCAGTAAATAAAAAATATAAATTGTGATTTTTGTGTAATGTTTTTGCTGGCTCTAAACACTGTATGCATGATAATTTAATGCCAGGATACTCTAATACTTAGCTACATAAAATGTCCCTTCGCCTTGCATTGCCAACAAATCACTACCCAGTATCATGTAAATGCTTGTAATCTTTATTATTTATTTATTTTTTTTACAGAAAGATGCTGACCAGAAAGATGCCATCATCATCCCACTGTGGATTCCAGGGCATTTTCTGCTGAGCGTAAGAACATTATACCATTTACACAACAATTTTGTGAGTGGCATACAATATCAACATAACATGTTAGGACATATGTTGTAGATGATGTCTGTGTTTTAACCTTAAAGTCATTTGTGAGTTTCCTGTGGTTTTTGGCTAATTGTACATCTGTTCTATTTTCTGTAGGTAATGAGGCCACTCCAGAAAGAAATTTCATTTCTGGATTCCCATTATTTCAGAAGAGCAGATGGTTTCTCCAGTCAGGCCTACAGGAATCTGTTGAGGTTGTCAGTGTTGTGTGTCCTAGTGGTCACGTTATCCTGACCTGCCAATGTTTACAAAAATTTCCCAAAATAAGTTTAATCAGGGGGCAATGTGATAATAAATGTACCCCGCTCTGCACATTTGTTATAGGGTCAGATGAGATTTGCTTCAAATAGCTGAAAGTGAAGAAAATAGACAAATATGAAATGCAATGAAAAGGGGAGGAAGACAGAAAGACAACATCCTTTTTGAACTTTAGGAAATTATGAATATTTACCAATTTGCATGGTCCCGTTCTTGGACATGTTACCCGTTCTGTGGATTACAGATATTAGGCATGTTTCCATTAGCAGAACTCCAGGGTAGTTCCTGGAATGGGGAACTTGACCAGGAGATAGGATGTCCCAGTCCTCTCAGCTGTTGTGTCTCCATTCAAATTCAGCCCTTTCAGAACTTCCACAGACAACAGCATATCACGACTGCTTTGGCAGTGACTGACGTCAATGATCAGCCCAAAAAAAGCACCCTATATGACATTAATAATAATAAAAGCATTTATTTTATAGAAGTATGTTCTAATTTAATCCATTCGGAGGACAAGAGCAGCTCTGAATTTTGAGACACAAGCCCCTTTAATTAAGTCTGTGGTGGATTTTTACCGTTTTGTCCAACAGCTGTGGGGGGATTACACAGAGTCTTCCAGTGTTGGGAATTAGACTTTTAATGCGATCGGTGCCTTTTTTTCATTCTGCATCACCAGCTACTCTTCTAATTATACTGATGCCAGTTGTTTTTGACGTCTGCTGATGTCATTTCCTACTGAGTTACAACCAGTCAGCTACTCCAGAGCAGGTACTCAGAAGGTTCCTGAAAACGGCCGTTTGACATGTCGGGAGGTTCCTGTAAATCTATCCTCAAGTTCTTGTAGTGGAAACACGCCTATTGATACGGTTCACATGCCATCAATTTCTTATATTTTTTATCTCTTACAAAATCATAGCAGCATACAGCTTTTTAAGTTTTACATTGTTGTTGTTTTTTGTTTTTTGTTTGGGTTACTCAGAGATGTTACACAGCAGACAGCTGTGGGAACCTGGGTGGAGAAAACTGCTCTGGATTTGGAGGTATTGCCTGCAATATCAAAATTAAACTGAAATGTAATTATCGGTTATTTGTTTAATTTAACTGTCATACAGGGTGTTCCTAAGCAGACACATGGCAATGATTGTGGTGTCTTCATGATAATGGTAAGTGACGGTAATGCCGTATACAATAACGTGACACACGATTTTTGTATTCTTTTGTTGGATATCTTATTTATAATTGCATCTTTAAGCCAATAAATTTTTCTATATGACGTTAATTGAGTTCCAGGTACAGAAGCTGGAGCCACTGATTGGATAACATGTAGTATTTTGCATGGCTTCAATTGAAGAACTATGTTAGGTTCATGTAAAGCTACATTACACAATTGAATTACTTTAAATCAACACAGTAACAAAACAAAACCACAACAAAAACAGCATTACATAAAGTTAATAAATGGATTGTGGACAGTGCTAATTCTATCCATGCAGTTTATCATGTCTTCTCTAATATACAGTTTATTGTAATGATCTGCACTACATATTTTAGTGTAAATGTGTGCCCACTCTGTCACTGAGCAGTCTCATATTTATTGTTTGAAAATGTGTCATCACTACAGTATGCCTGGTACTTTGCTATGGAAGCATCCTTTGACTTCAGTGTGGTAAGTTTACAAAGAAAAATGTAAAAATTCTATCACTACTTTTCAAATATTGTTAATATACTATGACTAATGTGTCCTCATAGTGTACCTGTGGTCTTTATTAGGATGACATGTTTCTCCTGCGAAGATGGTGGTGCATTGTCCTATTAGAAAACCTTGGCCTGGAAGGGTACGCTGCAGGGCTTCCTGAACGATGACTTTTTTATGGTCACACTTATCTCCATTCTGGCTCATGAAAATATGTGTTTATTACAGGTATGGAAGGAAGTTTGCCCATTTTACAGAAGAGGGACAGGCAACCCTTTCTACCAATGTACCACCGGTATTCAGGATAAAAAGAAAAAGAGAACATGAAAGCAGCACCATGGTCAGTGAAGACCTTACTCCTGCCTGTTTGAAAATAGGTCATCACTTTCAGGGATGGAATGATTCTGAGACGGCAGTAGTCCCACAATTTTCAGTTGCTGTATTTAGCTTTTCCAATTTTTTGTGGTTTATTTGTTGATTTTAAATAGCCGAAAGTTTGATATGTTGTCAACTTTCAATGGTGGTGGTATAATAAGTGCTAATGTCAATCCTCTTTGGATAACTGTAAAACAAACTGATACAATTATTTGCTTTCCTCTGAATCCACAGGACACCGACCATGTGTATTTTAACACACCCTACAGCTTTCCACCCAGAGAGCAGGTGAATATGAGTGAAGATTATTGCATGACAACAAAATAAAATTAATTGTAACTGCTGTGCATGAAGTCATGTTTTTGTGTCGTGATTAAGGACAATGACGGCATGGACCAACACAACGTGGTCAGCATTCTGAAAATTTTTTTGTATCACATGAAAATATTTTTTGCCTTTACTGTTGTCACTCTATAACTCATGGTTAATATCTTGTTACCTGCAACATGACAGACTAATGTCTACATGAAAGATGTCCTTTTGTTCACCTCATTACTCAGGCAACCATCCATGCACTTTCAGCTGTCCATGAATGTTGACCAGACAAAGCCACAGAAATGCACAGCAGTGTGACTGGATGTATTCTACAAACACAAGAACAGTGCTAATGTCTATATGTATTGTTTTCACAATGTTTATGACAGCCTCTAGGTGTAAATGTCATTTTTACTAATTGCTATTTATCTCTGTCTCATTAGTGAGAGGCAGCTGATGTCCTAATCCATGGAACTGCTCATATACACGGAGAAATTCAGAAAAGCTCTGGACTCATCTCATTGTGTGGACTTTTTTTATTTTTCGAAGGTTTTTGTCAGGGCAATAAAAGCTGTTGTTGGGTGTTTCATTTGCCTGAACTTTTTTTCTAAAGCCAAACTTTTCTGCTTTTGTGTTTACAGCATATTCTTTCCAGATTAGTGTATGGTCAATATCAGTTTACTAGTCTTGTGAATTGTATACTTAATGCAAAATATTTTAGTAATTTCTAAATCAATACATTTTGTGTCAAAGGGCCAGCCATCATTCCTGTTAACAGAATATATGCAATGCATATATACACATGTAAATATGCCCATAAATTACACATCAGCAGCTTTTCACTGTAAAGAAGCAATAAAAAACCATAAATAGTAACATAGATATTAACTACTCACTCGTATGAACTTAGACCCACTGTTAGTGCCTGTAATAACAAATGGTTGAAAGTTAAATGTTGCTGTAGGAGGCGTGCTCCCAAAAGTGGAGGCCAGTGGGCTTAAGGGGTTAATTAAAACTATTTCCACTAATTACTTTATCTGGTTTTAAATTTTATTGCATTTGAATAAACACTTACACATACATTACTCACCTGCTAACTTCAGTAAGCATAGGTATGTTGTGCCTACCGGCAACTGATTATTGTACGGCTACTGATTATTTGTTGGTGGTATGTGTTTTATAATCTCACTGGGGATGGCCATAAAGTGTGTATGCAAGAAACAAAAATAATCTCACTAGGGATGGCCAAAAAAATCCATACATTCATATTTAAACCTGGAATTCTGTCTGTTTAATTACGTTAATACTATTTATTTATTGTCTTTCAATTGTGTTGTTCGCCGTTGTTGAGCTCGGGAGTAGCTCAACAGGGGGGCGGGGGCGTGTTTTGTGTGTGTGTGTGTGTGTGTGTGTGTGTGTGTGTGTGTGTGTGGGGGGGGGGGGGGGGTGTTTTGGCCGGGGGCCTGCTTTTCCTGGGCGTGGTTTTCCTGGGCAATGTCCGCAGCTAGGTATAGTTTAGCTCCGGGAAGATGCGTAGTTCGGCACCTCCACATCCAATCAGAGAGCTTTCACCTTGTTGTCTAGCTCACCATTGGCTCCTCCTGATGCTGCGTTCAGGCGCACAGGTAAAGTGTGAATTTACACGGAACATACATTTAAATTGTCCAAAAGTCATTAGATACACCAGTTTAAAAATAATACATCGTGCCAACAGTTGCTAGAAGTTGTAACTAGCGAGTCCATATTGCCAAATCATCCCAGATTACACATACTTTCAAATTACAGTCACGTTCCGGTATTTCCGGTCCCACAGGAAGTACATGCATGTTCATCCTTTCAGCTTGACATGATTCAACATACCTTCAAAATAAAACCACATTCAGGCATTTCCAGTCAAACAGGAAGTTTGTTCATGTTCATCTTTTGGATTGACTATGATAAACAGACCTTAAAAATAAAACCACGTTCCGGTATTTCCGGTCCAACAGGAAATACGTTCATGTTCATCCTTTCAGCTTGACCATGTACATTCGCTTTTCCTCCTCTTTTCTCTTGTTGTTTAGTCCATAATTTAGTAGTTTTTGTTAACTTTGTCTTGTTCATAAGTTTCCCTTCACCTAAGTAAGATTTTTTAAAAACCTTTATAAATGTTATGACTTGTCTAGGAGTATTCTTTTATTTAGAAACTTTAATAATAGACTAGTTTATTTAGTTAACATATTTTTTTTCAATTTATGTTGTTGTTCTAATTGACATTCATTTTATTCTGGCATTATGTTCCCTCACAACTGGAAACAGAGGGTCTCTCCTAAAATTCATATTCACTATCCACGTTGCCTTCCTATAACAGGAACCTGACCCTACAGCCCCTAGATTTCTTCCCAACCTTAAATAGCAAACTGACGTCACAAAACCCCACCACTGAGTACTACAATAGTTGCTTGGCTAGGCTACATCCTACTTCAGTTCACCTAATCTGCTCTCCAGACATATCTTTATGGCCCTTCCTTTATCCTGTCCACACCAGACATTTCAGCTGCACAGCTACAGTCACTTAACCTCCCTACCATCATCAAAATTCACTCTTGAGTCCTCTATAAAATAGGTTAATATTTATTTAAACATTAATTTGGGCACAGTTAAGCTCAGCTCCCCTTTTCTTATGTGATGAGGAGGAGAGGATGAGGCCTTCAAGTGGAAAAGCTAATAATGCCACACTGCCCTTTTCAAACCACAACAGCCATACTCTCTCCTGATCCTGGAAAAGCAGTAGCTAGCATGTTTTAGTTTTAACTGTGCTTCAACACACCTTATTTCAATCAGCAAGTGACTTACAGGCTTTTGAAAAACCTGATGACCTTCTGCTCAATGATTCAACAACATAATTAGCTGTGTTGGAGTACAGAAACATGGATTATAACTTTGGAAGATAACCACAGGAGGGTGGACTTTTCCATGACTGAGCTTGATTGCAGATTTGCAGCTTGACATGTCCTGTTTGTCCCCTCTGACTGGTATCTGTTGAAAAAAGCATAACATCTAAACTAATCACAGTTTTTAAAATGTAACATACAAAAGAAATAAGCTTGTATAGTGCTATGGAGAATACTATGAATTAATTTCTAATGTCAACTGAGTTTATACAACCTTGCTGATTCTGTCACGATACGATGGTGTGGACCCAAAATGCAGTACCCAGGATGACACGGAGGCAGGGAGGAAGATTTTAAGTAAAAAGTCTTTATTTGTGGGTGAGCCAAAAACCAAGGTTAATCCAAACTGGAAGTCAAAAAGCCAAAAATCCAAAATTCAAAAAAGCAGATATTATCTGGGGATCAAGAAACTCTAGTTTAAACACAAAGGGTCGAAACTGACAAAATCAAACAAACATTAATGGACCGACACAAAACAGAGACAAGACCGGGCTTAAATAGACTGGGAGACAAATTAAGGAAACAGGAAGCAGATGTGTGGAGTGAGGGCTGGAGGGAAGGCAGGTGACACTAATCAACTCAATAGGAAAAACAGAAACAGAGGAGGGCAAATACCTAAACACAAAACTAAACAACAATTACCTAAAGACAGAGGGAAGGACTCACACAAACTAGCTGGAGGAGGACATAGCACATACACCCACACACACTGAGCTGGGGACAACAAGGCTGGAGCTGACCTGGGAGGAAAGAGTAGAAAAGATAACATGACACTAAACTGACATGCAGAAAAAGGACACATGAGGGCGCCAAAGGGCTACAACATAAGACACATAACAGGGATGCAGACAAGGACACATGAGGGCACTAAGAGAGCACAAGTGGGGAACCTGGAGTGGAGCACAAGAGGAGCTGGGGAACAAAGGGACACAAGAGGAAATCTAGAGAGGGATGGAGGACACCAGGAGGCACAAAAAAGGAAGGGGCTGACGCAGACCATGACAGATTCACCTTTCAGCCCACTGTAAAATAAAACTAAATCAGCTACTACATAAATTTAAATAAAACTGATTCTGGTTTAACCTACATTCATTAGTATTTCTGTGTGAGACAGATGTGAAAAACAAAATAACAAAACAACAAGTTATGAAGAGGGATGGATCACGCCTCTAGTACATGAGCTCGCCCACAATAATGACATAGGATCTGGGTGCCGGCAAAAAATACACATATGACATGAAGCATGTTTACAGTATCTGAAGTCCATTCAGTAAGTCCCTACATGTTACCAGATAACGTCACACATATTGATGATGTCAGCACAACACATAGATTTATTGGGTTGAAACATACACTAATGATTATTTTATAGAACAACACTCATTGGACCAACTTGTGGTGCAATTGCTATTTATTAAATTGCAAACTGGTAAGCTGTGCTGAGGTCAGAATGGCATTATACTTGGCTTGTAACATCACGTGACTTCACCAAACACATTGATGTGGTTGTTGGTTCAAATCCCTGTAGCTCCACCCATTTTAGCTCACTGGCTCTAGAAAGAACACACAACGTCTGATTGATGCCAAAATAACAGAAAACGATCTTTGTCAACCAAAGCTGACCTTAATGCGATTATTCTGTGATTGGTCACAATGCCCCCTGGATAAATTTAACCTACAATAACTTCAAAAAACGTGGTCAGAAAAGCAT